GCGATTTACAAACTGAAAGTCGCAGGTTCAAATCTGCCATTCGATTACTGTGGTAAACCACTCTTAACTCCGGCATATATTTATATAAAAAATTAAAATAAAGCATAAACATAAAAATTAAACTTGATATAATCACCTACAATCACTGTAAGGCTATACGTTGTAAAGCCACGCTGCAGCTATATTAGTAGTATAGTTGTAACACGAATGGCTCGTCTCGACCGGGGATGGAAAACGCTCTCACAGAATAGCAGCGTAAAATAGCAGCTTAACACTACTGTGTTTCGTATGGTGAGTGTAGAGAACCGGAGACCCTTTTTACTGGAAAAGAGGCATTCTATCTTAGTCCTCAGCGGTGACAACGCAACTGCATTTTGATACTTAAACGAAGATAGATGTAGAAGTCTATACGCCACGACAACCACTTACCATCAGGTGAACTGTGTGCTCGTTTGTTTCCCCTTATCCTATAAAAAAAACCTGGAGAGTCACAGTGATAATATCAGATACCAGTTGGTTATAAAAACAGGTGTTACACATTGCAATATAGTCCAGTATGACATCACGATCCTATCACTATCACATTACTCACACGATATTATATCGTTATAATTCTGAAAATCATCTAATTCGGAAATTCTTAGTTATTCCGTCAAGAAGAAAATCCATAAAACGTAGCTTTTGTAAACAGTGACCAACAAACACCCAGTCCACACACTGGTATACATTGGTACAGTGGAACCAGTGGTCTATCTTTGATCAAGAATCAAAATGCAGATACGTTATCACCCGCAAAACCCTTTTTACTGGAAACGAATCTTAGTTCTCAGGAGTTACAACGTATTTGCTTTTCGATTCATAATCAAGTATAGATGTACACATCTATGAGCCCCACCACTTACCATCAGGTGGACTGTGTGCTAGGTTGTCACCTTTATACTATAAAATAAATTAGCAATTCACATTACAATCTTAATAACTGATATCGAACTAAAAAAAATCGATAATCGTTCGGCTGTATTACAGGGAATTACCCGGGCGTGTATATTCGATTCATTGTGGACTTCGATCAACAATACTAACTATTGTTGATCGAAGATTGTGGATGTCAAAATTTTATCTACACCTCTATATATGCTGCTGATAAATGTTACGTGTATTGTTATGTGTAAGCTGAATCACGATGTCGTCATTAATGTGTAATATTTTGAAGGAAATGCAGCAATGCTACTTCATTAAAGTCATTATCATCAATAGTCGTTCAAGTTCTCCCTTGAACATAGAAACGGATATCCTATTAAAACTTATTAAAGACCACTGTTGAGCATAGGTCTCCCCATAGGTCTCCTCATAGGGAGGATATTTGCCACAGTTTCAACGCTTGTAAGACGTACTAGCAACCGCAGATTTTATTTTCTTGAATTAAAAATTATTGTGAAGACGCAGCTGCTCTTCTCTTGGTTTGTTTCCCTCTGTCGTCTCTAACAACACCCACTGGACGATATGGGGTAGTGGATATTCTTACACTGTAATCAAATATACATATTCATCTTCTCTATCAGTCCCTAAAAGTTCACTAGAATAGAATAGAATATTTTTTATTCAATCTATAATACAAGTAATGAAAACATTTTTTTTATTGAAAGTAATTTTTTCCAAACATGGTGGAGCAACGCTGCAGCTATTTTATTGCTGTGGCACTTATGGGTCAGCTCGACCGAGGTCGGACCACGCTCTCACAGAATACCAGAGTAAGATAGCAGTTTAAAGCTGCTGTGTATCGTATGGTGAGTGTAGAGAATCGGAGATCCTTTTTACTGGAAACAAGGCGTATGGCATAAGCATATATAGATGTCTATGGACCAGAGCATTACTTACCATCAGGTGAACTGTGTGTTAGTTTTTCCAACATATTCTATTAAAAAAATAACAAGTAGCTGCAGTTTTGTAATAATATGACCACATCATTGAAAAATGATCGCAAAATTCCATAGATTATATCAGATACATCGACCAATAACGATCGCTTTTGCGCATTATATTTTAAAACACTCACAAGAATTATTCAAAAATAAAAATTTTGTACAACCAACTCCAATATAAATTATTAAGAATAACTCAAGAAATATTGGTCAGACCCTGATCAAATTTATATGGAACCACATGTGAAGCACCAGCTTTCAAATAAAAAGAGAATAATCGAAATCGGTTCACCCAGTAAAAAGTTATGAGGTAACACACATAAAAAAAAACATATAGTCGAATTGAGTACCGGCTCCTTTTTCAAGTCTGTAGAAAAGTATAGTCAATGTTTATACAAGCAAATAGAATATTTAAAAAAAAATTATAGAAGAGGGGGCAAACGATCATGCGGATCACCTGATGATAAGTGACCACCGCCGCCCATGAACATCTGCAACACCAGGGGAACCGGGGGAATCACAGATGCGTTGCCGGCCTTTTAAAAAGGAGTAGGCTCTTTTCTTGAAGGTCCCTAAGTCGTACCGGTCCGGAAAAATCGCTGATGGTAATCGATTCCACAAGGAAGTTGTGCGAGGAAGAAAACATCTTCTAAATCGCACAGTGGTGGACCGCCAATCATCCAGATGGTGTGGATGGTATCGGGAGTTCTACCGCGATGTGCGTTCGTGAAATTTGGCGTCTGGGATTAATCTGAACAATTCCTCAGAGCACTCCCCGTGGTAAATGCGAAAGACAATGCAAAGGGATGCAACATCTCGCAGTGCCAATGAATCGAGCCGATCGGAAACGACACGTTCGTCGACGATTCGAGCCGCTCTGCGCTGGATGCGGTCAAGTGGAAGGAGCTGCCACTGGGGAGCCCCAGCCTAGAGATGGGAACAGTATTCCATGTGAGGCCGAACCAGCGCCTTGTAAAATTGCAGGCAGTGTGCCGGCATGAAATACTGTTCCGCTTTGCTGAGCACGCCAAGCTTTTTAGAGGCAAATTTGGCCTTCTCTTCCAAGTGACCACGAAACTCCACGTCACTCGATATGTCGACGCCGAGGATTCCGATACAGGCTGAGGCAACAAGAGGAGTGGCTTGAAACTTAGGAGATACGACAAACCGGTTTTTTAGCGGTAAGCGCGCAAACTTGTGCCTTCTGAGGATTAAACTGGACTAGATTTAGTCGCCTCCAGTCTGAGACTTTGTTCAGCAAAGACTGCTTGACCTGAGATCAAATTTGAAAATGAATTTTGAGATAACCGTGTAATGGCGGTGTAAGAATATCCACTATCCCAGATCTCATCGATCGGGGGTATATTTGGCAGATGCCAAATATCGCCCACCATAGATATGGCGGAGCAGTGGACTGTCATTATGACTTTGAGAAAAAGGTATAAATTTAAATGATAGCCCAACGGCACGGGAAATATATTCATGTGTCACACAACACAAGGCGCCAGCTAAAACATTATATTATCTGTGAACTTCGCGCGGCGCCACAGCACGGTTATGACACAACATTACAAAGAATTAGGAAATCGATCAGACATTCCACAACTTATCGCATCGCTCTTTTGATAAACACATTCCGTCTTATACATAATTAAAAATTAAAAATTTTGTACAGCCGACTTCAATATAAGTTATTAAGAATAACCCAAAAAGTATTGGTCTGACCTTGATCAAATTCACATGGGACCACACGAGAAGTCATCGAAATCGGTTCACCCAGTAAAAAGTTATGAGGTAACACACATAAAAAAAAACATACAGTCGAATTGAGTACCGTCTCCTTTTTGGAAGTCGGCAGAAAAGGTAGTTTATTGATAGTCTTTTTTTGTAAAATATATGTGAGAATTGAGATGGTAAGTGAATGCTGTGGTCCATAGACATCTACATTTATCTACAATTAAGAATGAAAACGCATACGCGCTGTCACTCCTGCGGATTAAAATTAAATGCCTCGTTTCCAATAAAAAGGGCCTCCGGTTCTCTACACTCACCTTAGGAAACAGCAGCATTGAGCTGCTATTTTACACTGGTATTCTGTGAGAGCGCGGTCTCCGATCGAGCCGATCCATTCGTGCTACAACTATAATATAGCTGCAGAGTGGCCCTACCACGTATAAAGTATCATAGTTTAACAACAATCCTTCTAACTAAAGAAGTCCTTTAGCCGCGGCGCTTCAGTCTTCGCGAATTTTGACATTTGCTGTCTAAGTCCATACTTAATATTTTAGTTCCTATATTTTTGCTGGACTTCTTTAGTATAATAAATTATACATTACTTATTGTATATTACTTTCCATTAGCCACAGGTTTAAATTGGAAACTGTTTCACGAAAGAACACCCGCGAAAATATACGAACTAAAATTTAAAGAATTTGACAGCAAACGTAACTTTTCTTGAAGACAGACAAATAAAAGACTTCTTTCTTGAAGACTCTTCTTAAACCATATTTTAAATTCGAGAATGTTTTGTAATGCGACAGAGTAAGATTACACAAAATGAAGACAAAAATTATTTAATAAAATGTGGATAGTCCCATTTAGAACTCTCTCAATATCTTTACAAATAAAAGTAATACAATACAATAAAAACAGTAGAGATAAAATCAAGGTAGATATCATATGAGTCAACTTTCACGTTAAAAGGAAAAACTACAAAAGTGCAGCACGCGGTAAAACCATACGAGCACGAGGCACGCCGTCACGTCATAAAACTGCAGCGGAGATCCGTTAAGATACCGGTTACCGACATCCCGAAAACGTTCGCCGAAGTCTCTGCGAAGTCACGTCGCATGACGTAGCTGTCAGCTGTGCAAACAGCGACGTAGAGGCGTGACGCAAGGCGATGGCCCACCGGTGCCAGGCCCACTCGCTTTGACTCAGGCTTTATAATTGAAAACCGCCGCCGAAACCACCAGACACCATTAGACCGTCGAAGGGGCAACACGTACAAGTGTCTGTGACAGTGATACTGTGCCTACAATCGTGAATCTGTTTAATTAGTGAAGTGGACAAAAAAACATGGAGAAAGCATTGTGTATGATTGTGATTTTGGCGGCCGCGGCGGCCCACCGCCACCACCCCAAGTTCCCCAAATCATCCGAAGAAATTGACACTTCTCTGTACAAGAAAGGTGAATACACTTCACATGCGCATGATGCAACTTGCGCTCTACTTAAATGATAGTGAATGAATTTTCTCTAATGCTGACTTATACGACCATACTATCTAATAGTTACACTTTGCTGTTATTATCTAAGTTAATCATGAATAAATTTTTGGCAGTTGCGTGCACAAGTGAAAATGACCTGTTGCGGAATGAAATTATTGAAAAGTCAAAATGCGGAGAGCCTAAAGAGGTCTTCATACACTTACACCCTGGGGCCACACACGAGCAGGTATTACAATTTACTTATTACTACTTTTACATGAATTAGTTGTGAGGAAAATTTCATTGAAAAAAACTAGCGAACAATTTAGCTTAATTATTATGATTTTTTTAAAAATATAACAATATTTTTTAATTATCATGTTTCAATAGCGAATTAATTAATTATTTCTTTGACCTCATTATAAGGCATTCAATTATCACGTGATTAAATACTACTTTGTAGTAACATCAATTAGTTTGATAACTGTTAATATTACATTTGTATTTCGTAATTCACGCTTTATTGAACAAATATTTTAATGACTGATAACACGAAATTTGTTGAAGAGTTTAATCGAAAACGAGATTTCTTCCGTTATCCGTACATTTTGCCGATTCATTTAGGGGAATTTTTTAAATGTATATTTTAATTGGTTGATACCACGCTGTAGGTACGTTATGGTTGTTGCACGAATGGGTTGGCTCGACCGGGGTAGGAGCACACTCTCACGGAATAACAGCGTAAAATAACAGGTCAATGCTGTTGTTTCCTATGAGTATAGAGAACCGGAAACCCTTTTTACTCGTAACTTAGTCCTCAGCGGTGACAGCGCTTCTGCATTTTGATTCTTAATTCAGGATAAATGTAGATATCTATGGGTCACAGCATCCACTTATCATCACGTGGACTGTATTTGTCACACTTATTCTATAAAAAAATAACCAGCACTAGTTTTGTAATGGACGTTCAAAATGAAATATTCAAATGTACGACTACAATGTCGTTTACATCCGCAAATGCGGTCATTAAAGATGCGTGAGAAGATCCGCTTAGACTGAATGTACTGACGTGGTCGGGTTTCCCAGGTTAGCCCGGGTGCGGTTTGGGTGAAGAGATGTGTCGGTCTCTGTGACTACGAGGCTACCGGTTCAAAATGCGTCGCGACCAAGACAAAAATACAACACATACCGGTGAGTACTGAACCTAGTTGATGTTTGATTATTTATCATTGAAGGGGCAGATATGTTTATTTCTGCTAAATTAGGTTCATCCTTGACACAGTTTCGTCTGCCGTTGGGCGTACGTTGCACAATCATCGCCCTTAATGATAATCATGATATAAGTTGCATCTTTTTCTACCTGTTCTAATGACTCAGCTGGTTAATGTAACGTAAACTCGTCAATGTTTAGCTTCGACACGCTTTCTATTATTGCGTCTGACTCAGTGCAATTTTTGGATACTGGGAAATTGTTGGAAACATTCCCATAATATATACAATTGGAAATGCCAATTATAATTTATAATTTTCTAAACATCCCACCAGATGGAGTCACAACCTGGAAAGAGATGCAGGATATTGATCGATGCAGGTGGCTCAAGACCGTCTTTGTGGTATTCCTTAGGGGAGACCTGCGTTTTGCAGTGGCCTTGTGAAAAGCTGTAATGATGATGATACATTCTTAGATATTTAATTTGAATGTTGAAATCATACTTATTCTATATATATATATATGTATATATATATATATATATATATATATATATATATATATATATATATAGAAATTACGTGTCACATTGTTTGTCCGCGATGAACTCCTAAACTACTGAACTGATTTCAATGAAATTTTGCACACTCTGTGCAGCTTGGTCCAACTTGAGAGATAGGATAGTTTTTAACCTGATATTTTTTTATTACTTGAATTTAAGAATTTTTTATAAGAAGGGTCGCTAAAAAGAGCAGAACAACGTCTGCCTGGCCAGCTAGTATATATATAACTTCATTTTAATTGCAAATATATATTGTATGTATATGTATATAAGTGTTTGTTTTATCCGAGACAGTCAAACAATTTACAATCATCTTATTAATATAGGCAAGACGTCAAAGGTAATAGAGCCATGAAGCCATTTCTAGAAAAACACTGCTGGCAACAAACCAAAATGATTTGAAACTATCAATCAAAGATATTTTTGAATAATTAAATAAAAATTAGTAAAAGTCCAGACTAAGAAGATCCTTCATTGAACTAGTTTCATTTTACGTTTCTTAAAGAGATCCGAGTAAAATTATTAAGCAGTGAATGCCGACATTTTCAATGATTTTTTTGTAGAATATAAGAGTGACAAACGAGCACACAGTCCACCTGATTAAGTGGATGCTCTCTTCCATAGACATCTACTTTTATCCTCGATTAAGAATCAAAATGCAGACGCGTTGTCACCCCTTAGGACTAAGATGGAACGCCTCGTTTCCAGTAAAAAGGGTCTAGGAAATAAAAAAAAAATATATTTACTTAGATTTATGTTACTTGAGGCCCAATTTTAATGTGATTCTCTATTAACAGGTGAGAATATACAACGTGAAAACAAATAAGGAAACTTGCTCCACGTACGCGGTGGAGGTGCACGAGAGCTGCGGCTGCTGCGCGCTGTCTCCGGCGGAGTGCGCGGCGCCGCGCGTGTACAACCCGCGTAAGTGCTCCTGCCAGTGTCCCAACGCGGACGACAAGAGGACTTGCCACAGGAAGGTGTGTAAGATAATGGATGTCTGTGCACTAACGTAGGTGGACGCGGCACGCATGCCACTTCGAGCTGTTATAACATAATGCTTGCAATTCGATTTTCCGTCCGTGATTTTTTCTTTTTTATTTATAGCCTGATTGTCATTTTTTTTTGCTTTCACTATGCTCAAGTTAAATGCATAAAGATTTTCAGTATTTTGATTTCTCGAAAATTCAAATTTCTTTTTTTATTATTGGTAACTCTCAATGTTTCAGATTATAAGTCTTTATAAACTCTGAATGAACACAGTGCAGAGTATAATTAATATTTGCATGAAATTGTTTTAATAACATCTTATTATATTTACAAAGTTTTTATTAACTCGCTTTCGTGTGTCTGTGCGGGTCGAATATATTAATGGATTTCAAAGTAACTTACCGATGAGCTACAGACTTGAAATTTTGAACATAGCTCAGAACCGGGTGACGATGTAAGAATACGAAAAAACCGTGGTATTTTAATAAAAAATACTGTATTATTTTAAATTTCACTTGTTTTTAACGTAATAATAAATGCGTTGGTTCTATCGTTAAGTTCTGTTGAAGCGTGTGCCGTACTGACATCCGTTGTCTTACAAGATACTCTTCTCTAACATTTTCTTTTAATTTTATAGACTTTATTCGTTTGCTTTTTATGTTTTTGTTTAAGCTTGTGACGCATCAAATAATTACCAATACAATTACCTTTAGCAAGTTATATTGAAATCAAGAGATAATCAGGAACGCAGCTATATTATGGTTGTAGCGCGAATGGGTTGGCTCAGCCGGGGTAGGATCACGCTCCTATAGAATACCAGCATAAAATAGCAGCTTAATGCTGCTGCGTTCCGTATGGTAAGTGTAGAGAACCGGAGACCCTTTTTACTGGAAACGAGGCATTCCATCTTAGTCCTCACGGGTGAAAACGCATCTTAATTTCGATTCGTAATCGAAGTTAGATGTAGATGTCTATGGGCCACAACAACCACTTACCATCAGGTGCACTGTGTGCTCGTTTGTAACCCTTATCCTATAAAAAAATTTAAGCATCAGGTGAACTGTGTGCTCATCTGTCACACATATTCTATAAAATAAAACAGTCGATTGTTAGCCAACCTTCTCAAGGAGTTCACAATTTCGAATAAATTCTCTTTTTGTTACAGCGGAACCAGAATATGAGGTGGAATCGATATAAGTGCACGTGTGAGGAGAAGAGAAAGACTTCCGGAAGGGGGCTCCCCTTCGGCTTCTGACTGACCTCAACTCCACAGTGAATTTAATGTGCTTCAAGAAGAACTCCATCAAGTGAATAGAAGTGACATTGGTTGAGAAAATGACAAAGTATGAACATTTAGTATTAAAAAGCGACTGATCAAGTGTCCTTTGCATAGTTCGTATTGTTGAAATCTGAACAGTATTATAGGTGTTAAGTAATTTATTATTTAAATTTGTAAGATGAAATATGGGACCAAATAGTGCTGTGACTCGCTAAATAGTTCCATGAGATTAACTTAAAATTTCAAATCCTATTAGTTATATAAAATCAATTTGGTTTCTTATTTATTTATTCTTTATCGATAAAAGTAAATGTACATCACTACTCAGTATTTTATAGGTATAGGGGCGCAGATAGTGCGCAATTCCTAAAATGTGATATAGTTATTCCAATAGGTTACTATAGTTTACAGATAGGCATTTATTTAATTAGACTTAAGAGCATTTGTATCTAGTCAAAACGTTCATTTCGATTTGTTTTAAACATTGTCAATTTTAAATTAGCTCTCTTTTTCGCTGAATTTCTAACATTTTAATTGTATTATATTGTAAAAAGGTTTTTATTTGTAGTATAATTTATTTAGCATAATTCATTAGGGACCTAGTCTAGATTGTGCCAAAGGCATAGAATCTCCCTGGTTTTTCTTATTTTCTAATTTATTATTACTAAGGTAAGCTTTAAAAGCTTTAAGTGATGCAATCACGCAATTGTTTTTTTTAGCCCTAATTTAAAATAAATTTTGTACTTAATTTTTTAAACAGCGTCTTTTATTATATCATCTATTGTGGGAAATCGAAATATATTAAAAAAGCACGTATGGCAATTCACAATGCTGTGTTAGCCGTACCTTAACGTGTTATAGATGTAGAAATGCGGTCATTAAGGAGTATGTTAGGGATGAATCTGAGCGACAGGGTGAGAAAGCGTGTGATAAGAGAAACGTTTGGTTTGCAAGATGATGTTGTGATCAGGATTAAGAAAGGAATGCTTCGGTGGTTTGGTCATGTAGAAAGAATGAATGAGGAAAGAGTGACAAAGCAAATTCGTCTTGCAGAAGCGAACGGTAGAGTCGAGAAGGTTGCCCTTGACAAAAGTTTATTGACCAAATTGGCGGTATATTGAACTTTAGCCAAATTAAGAGTACCTTTAACCGACGAGCATGTATGGATAGGTATATGGATGTAAAAGAAGCTAGAGAGGTGTGTCAGGATCATGCCTAATGGAAGTCCGTAGTCTCTGCTTACCCCTCTGGGTGACAGGCGCGAGTGTTTATGTAATAATTATTATTGTGCAATCACCTTACAACCGCTATTGCAATGATTCACCGTAATCAAATTTAAGAAAGTAATTTTTCGGTTTCATTAGTCATCGACTACGTGGTAATGAAAATGTTCAGTCACCATTACGTCACAAAACATGACTGAACAGAAACATAAACAGAAACAGAGCAGAACAGAACTAACATCAACTAGATCTATATAGGCGTAGTAGCTCAAAAGTTGGCCAATAACTTTAAATTTTATAGTGTAATGAACTGTAACACCCTATTTCACCCCGTCAGGGGTTAAATTTTCCAATTTATTAGTGGGTGTCTACGTCAATTATCCGAAGTCCGAAGAGAGGGGGAGGACACGGTAATCCTCGAATCCGGCAACTTGCTCTATCACCGGGAGGGCGACCATCTGTCCCAAGGAGGTGTCGGATTTATCGTCCACAAGTCTCTCGTTAACAACGTTGTAAAAATCGGGAATGTGTCGACGAGGGTTGCGTACCTTATACTCAGAATCACCAAACGGTATTCGCTGAAGGTCATACAGGTTTACGCACCAACCTCGGCACACCCCGATGAGGAGGTGGAGGAAATGTATGAGGATATCTCTAGAGCCATGCATTCCTCCAAAACCCAATATACGGTGTTAATGGGAGACTTCAATGCAAAACTAGGCACAAGAGAGAACGGTGAGCTGAAAGTAGGGAAATTTGGAATAGGGCAACGGAACCCAAGGGGCCAGCAGCTGGCCGACTTCATGGAGAAAGAGGGACTCTTTATGATGAACTCTTTCTTCCAGAAGCGGCCCCACAGAAAGTGGACCTGGTCGAGCCCCGACGGTTCCACAAAAAATGAGATTGACTTCATTATGACGACCAGACGACAACTGTTCAGTGATGTCTCCGTGATCGCGAGGGTGAAAACTGGTAGCGATCACCGAATGGTTAGAGGCACACTGAACCTAAACGTTAAGTTGGAGAGGTCTCGTCTAATGAAGTCAACGCTCCGTCCCCCTCGTGCTCTGTTCCAAAGTCCCGAAACCTTTCAGCTCGAGTTACAAAACCGTTTTCAGTGCCTGGAAGACTGCAATGAAGTGGACGATATGAATGACAAGCTCGTGGAAACTGTCCATGCGGTTGGAGCTAAGTTCTGCAAGACCCGCCGCAGAAGAACACAAAAACTCTCCGATCACACTCTTAATCTCATGGCTGTTAGACGGGAGATGAAGCTACATTCTTCAACAGACTTGACAGCATACAGGTATCTGAACAGACAGATCTCCAAATGCATGCGGCGGGACTTACGCAACTTCAATACAGCTCGTATTGAAGAAGCGATCGAGCGGAACCAAGGCTCCAAAGTCTTTGCCAGAGATCTGTCTGCCAGAAAGAGCCAACTGTCAAAGCTGAAGACAGAATGTGGCAGCATCGTTTCCGGGACACCTGAGATTTTGAGTGAGATTGAGAGGTTCTATGGGCAGCTGTACACATCATCGTTGGAGCCACACGCAAGTGTGAGTAACGATCCAAGAGCGAGTCTCATCCGACACTATTCCGAAGATATCCCGGATGTCAGTCTGAGCGAGATTAGGATGGCTCTCCAGCACCTTAAAAACGGTGAGGCCCCAGGCGAGGATGGAATTACAGCGGAGCTTCTGAAAGCGGGTGGAAGACCGGTACTTGAAGTCCTTCAGAAGCTCTTTAATTCCGTCCTCCATGGTGGCATTACACCGGAGGCGTGGAGCAGAAGTGCGGTGGTCTTGTTCTTCAAGAAAGGTGACAACGCTCTCTTGAAGAACTTCAGACCGATTTCCCTTCTGAGCCGCGTCTACGTGCTGTTTTCGAGAGTCATTACGAATCGTCTCGCGCGCAGACTTGACGACTTCCAGCCTCCCGAACAAGCCGGTTTCCGAAAGGGCTTTAGCACCATAGACCACATACATACCCTTCGGCAAGTTGTACAGAAGTCCGAAGAGTACAATTTGCCACTATGTCTGGCGTATGTGGACTATGAGAAAGCCTTTGATTCCGTCGAAATTTGGGCGGTGCTGCAGTCCCTTCAGCGGTGCCAAGTTGACTGTCGGTATATCGAAGTGTTGAAGTGCTTGTACAGTAGGGCTACGATGGCTATCCGAGTACAGAACCAGAGTACGAAACCTATCCAATTGCAGAGAGGTGTAAGACAGGGTGACGTCATATCCCCGAAACTCTTCACCGCTGCATTGGAAGACGTTTTCAAGCTTCTGGACTGGAAAGGATACGGTATCAACATCAATGGCGAGTACATCACTCACCTTCGATTTGCCGACGATATAGTCCTTATGGCAGAATCGCTGGAGGACCTAAGCACTATGCTCAATGACCTCAATAGTGTTTCCCAACGGATAGGTCTTAAGATGAACATGGACAAAACTAAGATCATGTTTAATGTCCATGTCACACCTATGCCGGTAGTTGTTGGGAACACTAAGCTCGAAGTTGTTGACGAGTATGTTTACCTGGGACAAATAGTCCGACTGGGTAAGTCCAACTTCGACCGAGAGGTCAATCGACGGATTCAACTCGGCTGGGCAGCGTTCGGGAAGCTACGACACATCTTCTCGTCAGACATACCTCAAAACCTTAAAACGAAATTGTACAACCAGTGCGTGTTGCCAGTGATGACTTACGGAACTGAGACGTGGTCCTTCACTGCTGGCCGTATGAGGAAGCTCAAGGTCGCTCAGCGAGCTATGGAGAGGGCTATGCTCGGAGTTTCTCTGCGTGATAAACTTAGGAATGAGGATATCCGCAGTAGAACCGGAGTGACCGACATAGCCCAACGGATTAGTAAGCTGAAGTGGCAGTGGGCCGGCCATATAGCTCGAAGAACTGACAACCGATGGGGAAGAAAGGTTCTCGAGTGGCAGCCTCGTACCGGTAGGCGAAGTGTAGGGCGTCCCCCCACGAGATGGAGTGACGACCTGGTAAGACATGCAGGAAGTCGATGGATGCAGGTGGCTCAGGACCGTGTTTTGTGGCATTCTTTGGGGGAGGCCTATGTTCAGCAGTGGACTTGTGAAGGGCTGTAATGATGATAATGATGATGATGATGTCTACGTCAAGAAAGGAGTATATATGCCAAATTTCAAGTTAATCAGGCTTATAGTTTTGGAGATTTCGTGACGAGCGAGTGAGTCAGTGGTATTTCGCCAATACATATATATATATATATATATATATATATATATATATATATATAATATGTCCAATATGAAGGACCACGTCTCAGATCCATGTCATCACTGGCAACACGCACTGGTTGTACAATCTTGTTTTCAACTTTTTTAAGTATACGTGACGAGAACATTTGGAATGGCGGTATGAGGAAGCTCAAGGTCGTTAAGTGGGCTATGGAAAGGCCTATGTTCAGAATTTCTCTGCGTGATGGACTTAGAAATAAGGATATCCGTAGTAGAGCCAGAATAACCGACATAATTATTAGTATCAAGCGTTGCATTGCGGAAATCCATTATAATAAATATGTTAAAAATTATTAGCCGCATATTATATATCTTATCTTATGTAATTAATTTACAAAACCTTTAATTTAGTAACCGACATAAAGCAACGGATAAGTAAGCTGAAGTGATAATATGCGAACCATATAGTTCAATGAACCGATAACCGATGGGGAAGAAAGGTTCTTGAGTGGCAGCCTCGTACCGG